GGCGCGCGCGCGTGCGGGGCACGACGTCGCGGCGGCCACCATGGTGGCCACGTGCCTGCAGGTGGTGGGCTTTGTCACGAGCTTCGTGGGCTGGATCGGCGTCATCGTCACCACGGCCACCAACGACTGGGTGGTGACCTGCGGCTACACCATCCCCACCTGCCGTAAGCTGGACGAGCTGGGCTCCAAGGGGCTGTGGGCCGACTGCGTGATGGCCACGGGCCTGTACCACTGCAAGCCCCTGGTGGACATCCTCATCCTGCCGGGTAAGCCCTCTCCGGGGCCTCGGCGGCCTCCCCCACATCCCCCGCAGGGGTCTGCTCAGAATCCAGCCGTGGGGACGGCGGTGGGGCAACAGACAAACCTTCTAGAAACATCGGTGAGGGGGGGTTCAGAGACCTGGGGACTCATGTATGACCCCCCCAGCTCCACTAAGCCCCGAAGGACGCACGAATTTGGGGGTGATAGCGGGGATCTGGCCGGTGGGGCTCCGTCCGGGAGCATCGCCGTCGCCCCACTCACCGCAAACAACTCCCCCGCGTCCCCCCGACGGCCCGGGCCCCGCATCCTCCCCGCACACAGCCCTGACCCCTGAAGGTTCCACCCGCGGATCCGAGGGGAACGGTGGGGGAAGAGCGGAGCGACCGCGGCCGCCCCGACGCCGCCCGCGCGGCCAGCGTCCCGGCCCGGCGCCGGTTTGAAGTCACACCCCGGCCGGGTGAATATAGCCAGGGTCCCCGCCGCCCCGCGGACGGACGCTCGCCCCGCCCCAGCCGGGGCGCTGGCCGGCGGCGTGGACGGCGGGCGTTGAGGACGCGGAGACTCTCAGCGGTGAAGTTGCGGGGCTGGGGGGCCCGCCGCTCTGCGCATGCTCCCCAGACCTGACAGATGGCGCCAGTTCCTCCTTCCCGCTAGCTTCGCGATCGCAACCCCGTCCGCTCTCATCTTCCGTTGGATTCCCGGGCTCCCGAGCTAGGTTCTTGTATTACAAGCGGTGCCCTGCCGCTGCGCACCCTTTCAGGGTCCCCGTGGGTCCCCACCCTCCTCTCTAGTCCCGATCGTCACGCACGGAGACTGGGCGCGCCCGGCCTGGAGTCAGCTTCCGAGTTGTGGATTTGGTAAACCGGGCTAGGACCCCGGGCAGAAAACCAGATGACCTAGGACTGCGTGTTAACCTAAGGCGCTCGCTGTCTTCTTCGAAATATTAGAATCGCTTTAAAAACGGAGCCAGGACTTCCTTGAAGGTAGTAGATGCTCCATAAATGGTAGCTCGAATTTTCTATACAGGCAAAAGCCCAGGTGGCTCACGCCTGTCATCCCAGCTACCCAGGAGGCTGAGATCTGAGGATCACAGTTTAAAGCCAGCCGGGGCAGGAAAGCCTGTGAGACTCTTATCTCCAGTTAGCCACCAAAAAGCTGGAAATGGTAGCGTGCTAGCCTTGAGTCATAAAGCTAAGGGAGTGCGCTCTCTCTCTCTCTCTCTCTCTGTGTGTCTCTCTCTCTCTGCCTCTGTCTCTCCCTGAGAGCACTCACACAGTGTTAGTGTGCCCTTGTCTGCTTTTTGTCTGCTTGTCTGCTTCCTTACTCAATATAACTCCATCAAGTTTTCTTTAAAAAAGAAAAAAAAAGCTAAGGGACAGAAATTAGGCCACGAGTTTAAACCCCAGTACTGGTGCACACACACACACACACACACACACACACACACACACACACACACCTTTGACTGTAGCATAAAATTATTTTCTGCCTCCTTCCTCTGAAAATGAGACACACGGAGCCGCATTCAGCACAGCGCGGTTTGCTTTCAGAGAACACAGGCTAAACTGAGCAGGAGGAGTACATTTTCTGGTGCACCTCCAATCTCTTGTTCTCTCCCCTCCCTTACACTTTGGATGGGGGCAGGGACAGTCCTCAGTCTCCATCTTTTGGCTTCCAGGCACAGACTTGGCACTGTAGCATGTGGACAGGCTGTGCCATGATTTTCAGACCTTGGGTTGCTACTGTTGCTGGACTCCTTTGTGTCCACTCTGGCCATCCTCCAAGCTGCAGGGAGGGGTGGAGCCTCCAGTCTTGGGGCTCCTCCCTGGGGGCCTCCAAGTCAGTAGGTACTTGAGTCTCATTAACACTGAGGTGGAGATGGGCAGTGGTTGAAAGACAGGCTCTTGCTAAGAGACAGTGTTGGAATTGAGATTTGGTGCCTGAGACAGATTGGCTGGGTTTGGTATGAGGTTCCCGCCTGTGACACAGAACTGTGGTCCGTTTCTTGACTTTGTCACCAACTCTGTCTGCCTCACTCCCACTATTAGCTCTAACTCTACCTGAACAGAGAAAATAATAAAGGCAACTTTTTTTTAAGAGGGGGAAGAGTGTCATAATGAGAATAAGTAAATTGAAAAGTGAAGCAAGAAACTGAAGTCTGTCAGAGCCTCTTAGGACCTTGGCAGATTTAGTCTACAGAAATATTGTATCTCTTATGGTTTTTCTCTGTGTGTCTGTCTCTGTGTCTCTCTTTCTTTTTTGTGCTAGTAGCAGTGCTTGAACTCAAGGCCTGGGCGCTCTCATGTGGATTTTCCACTCAAGGCTGGTGCTCTACCACTTGAGCCACAGTTCCATTTCTGGCATTTGGCCAGCCCGGGTTGGCTTTGGACTGAGACCCTCATGAGCCTCCTGAGTAGCTAAGATTATAGGCCTGCGCCATGGGCGGCCCTGGCCCTTTCCTCCTTTTGATCTTGAGTTGCTTCACAACAAGATCCGTAGAAGTGCTACGGATCTTGGGCAACTTAGCACATGCTTAACCTAGGAGTGGGAGAGAAGCCAGTGGGGCTGATTTCCTGTGTCGTGGGATTGGGGCTCTAAGACGCCCACTGGCTGCTGAACCCTGTCTGTGCTCTCGTTCCCAGGTTACGTGCAAGCCTGCCGCGCGCTCATGATTGCTGCCTCGGTTCTGGGTCTGCCGGCCATTTTGCTCCTGCTGACGGTGCTCCCCTGCATCCGAATGGGCCACGAGCCTGGCGTGGCCAAGTACAGGCGGGCCCAGCTGGCTGGCGTTCTGCTCATTCTGCTGGGTAAGCTTCCTGCCTGACCTCCTGGCACCCGAACACCCAGTGAACCCCAGGTCTCGCAGAAGCGGCAGTTGCTGCTTCATGGAGTTGAAGAGAAACATGAAAGAAAGTCAGGAGGCTCAATCCACCAGCTGACAGACTCCCCGAATCAGTAACTCCTTTCTGTGCCCCAGAAGTTCACAAGAGGGATAAGAAATGTCCTTGAGGGGCACTGAAGGTGGAAAGTTAAGAAGAAAAGATTCTCAGGCCTTGTGGTTCATGGATGTAATCTTAACTGCCCAAGAGACTGGGTGTGAAGCCAGACAGAGCTGGAAAAAGGAAACAAGTCCATGAGAATTCCCCCCCCCCCCCCAGTCATGGGGCTTGAACTCTGGGCTCCCTTTTTTTGCTCAAGGCTAGCACTCTACCACATGAGCCACAGTACCACTTTGGCCTTTTCTGTGATTCATTGGAGATAAGAGTCTCACAGACTTTCTGGCCAGGGTTGGCTTCAAACTGCAATTCTCAGATGTCAGCCTTCTGAGTAGCTAGGATTACAGGTGTGAGCCACCAGTGCCCAACTCCATGAAACTCTTACCTCCAATTAACCAGCAAAAAGCCAGTAGTTGAGCTGGGGCTCAAGTGATAGAGCACTATCCTTGAGCAAAAAAACCTCAGAAATAGTGTCTAGGCTCGGAGTTCAAGCATCAGGACCGACACACACACACACACACACACACACACACACACACACACACACATGACAGGAGGAACACAGCCACATGTTTTCATGTTTTGAGAATTGAGAAGGTGGTCAGGCCATGGATGGAGGGAGAGACAGTTGAGTCGGAGGGCAGAGCCTGTGTTCTCCATGTGTGCGGTGAGGCCTACACACAGAGGACTGAGTTAATAATCTAGGAAGGGTTCTTCTGGCTCTGCTGTCTTTGGGGATTTCATTTCTCTCCATCCCCCCCTCACCCTTAGACTCAAATTCTTTTAGCATGTTCCAAATCCATATAGCTGATAGAGGATATGGATTTTGAGAGCAGGAGTGTGTGTGGCAATGTGTACATCAAGTTGGAGAAAATGGCCTGTGTATAGGTTAGATATGAAGTCACCTTCTCCTGGGCCCAAATTCCCATTTCCCAATGAACCCGTCAGATGTGGCATGAGGGGAACAATGCCATTTGCTGACGTCACTTCCACCTGGCAGTGACACCAGTCTGGTGAGAGGATGTGCCGGCAGGGGGGGGGGTCATTTCCCAGGGTTGGAAATGGGTGGGGTTTGCAGGGGCTGGTGAAGCCTTGGAGAATTCAAGTGTGTGTGTGTGTGTGTGTGTGTGTGTGTGTGTTTGTGTGGTGGGCCAGGCGCCCATGACTCCTAACTATAACCCTAGCTAACACAAGAGGCTGAGACCTGAAAGATCAAGGTTCAAAGCCAGCCTGGGATAGGAATGTCTACAGGATTTCATCTCCAATTAACTACCAAAAAAAATAAATAATGCTGAACTGGATTTATGGCTCAAGTCAGTAGAGCACCAACTGTGAGCAAACAAGCTGTGAGAACTTGAGCGAGTCCCTGAGTTCAAGCCCCAGTATAGGCATGAGTGCCTGTACACGTGTGTGCATGTGCATACACACACACACACACACACACACACACACCCCAAATCTGTGTGTGCTGCACAGAACAGCAGAACACTCACCACCCTCCAGCTTTGTCTAACTTGCAGGCACTCCTTTTTATATTGATTTCTTGCGGCCATGTCTCTGGGTCCAATTCCCTTTTCAACAGAAAGGCAAAGCTGCCCAGGTAAGCCGGGTGGACTGGGCTGTGGAATGAGGAAGAAGCCCTTTGTGTTCTGCATTCTTGCTGCAAGGTTCTGTGGAGGGCAGACACAGAGCTGAAGGATGGGTCTGTAATCTTACGAGTTTACCTTTAAAAATTCTGGCTTTTCACTTGAGCATTATGAAGGTCCACAGTGGAGAAAAAAACCTATACAAACAAGCAGAAGCCCCATGGAAGATAGAGGGATAAAAGCAAGGTATAGAGAGACAATTTTTTTTTTAATTCCTAAAAACAACCAAATTGTCTGGTTATTTGAGGATTAGGGGAAGTTCTTAGTGTTTTGAAATTTCCTAACTTAGTTTATCTTTTTTTTTTTCTCTTTGTATTGGTGCTGGGGCTTGAACTCACGGCCTGGGTGCTGTCCCTCAACTCTTTTGTTCCAGGCTGGCACTTTACCACTTGAGTCACGTCTCCACTTCCAAGTTTTTGCTAGTTAATTGGAGCTAACCAAGCTGACTTCAAATGATGATCATTCGGATCTCAGCCTCTTCAGTAACCTGGATTGCAGGCGTGAGCCATTGGTGCCTGACTTTTATTTTAACTTTTAAAGTTGGTCTCAAAGAAGAATTATGTGACATTGGGCCAGGGAGTGGATGTGTATCTCTTACTCCCTGTTTTGCTGTGTCCAGTGAAATGACGGGGAATGTATCCTTGAGTGATCTGCTCCCCCCTCTTCCCAGCTGCTCACGGTTACATCTGCCGTTTTCTCTGCCTCTTGGATCTCTGATTTCTGCATGGGTCACCGCTGGTCTCTGGGCTGGATATTGTTTTGTCTGGAAATGTAAAGCTCATTGTCTCAAGTGTGGCACCTGCTGATGTCCTCCAACTCGTTCCCCCCCAGAAGCCCAGCGCCTTGTTTTCTCTCTCTTGGTGGTGGGTGGAGGAATCAGAGTGAAGGCTCCCTTTGTGTCGCTTTGCCTGAGAGAAGCTGGTGCTGGGCCCGTACTGGGTGCTGGGGTCACCTGATGGTGTTCAAGCTGACCAAAGGAAAAGGATTCACCCTGGAGTAGGGGACCTGGGAATGAGGTCCTTAGCTGTGTCATCCATGGTCTTGAGATGGTAGCTGGAAATGCAGTCGAAGCCAGCTCCCCCTCATCCTGAATATCTGTAGCTATTTTTTTTTTTTTTTTGCAAGCTCCATCTTAACAGCGTGGGTGTGATGGTGTGAGAATTCCTGCTGTGATGAGGGAACAGGAGGCCTGAAGCAGTGGCTTCTTAAGCCAGATGAGTAGCTCAAGCAACAGCAGGTGCCTCAGATCTGGGGGAAGATCTGAAGCAAATCGGCTCTGTATGTGGCTTCTCAGGAGTCCCTGACAAGGTGGGAGGTACCCATGCCCTGCCTGTTCTAGCTTGTTCGAGGGACTCAGACCCAAGTGTACTGACTCAGGAATCCACTGCTTTTTAGCTGTGTGCATCGGGACACTTACTTCACGGCTCAGTCTTTCTATACAATGAGAACAATAATGCCTCCTTCTCAGATTGGTAAGAACAGGGAAACGATGCATAGAAATAATTTAATTGGGACATAGGAAGTGCCCTATAAGTGGTTGCTCCTAATATTATTATTGTTGTTACTATTGACTTCTAGAAGATCTAGTGCTGACCCAGAAGATATCTGGGGATTCTCCCAATCACATCTAAGTTCTGCTGGGCCTTCTCCACACGCAGAACTGGTGAGGAGAGAAAAGAATCTGTTTCTGGAAGCATTAGTTCAGGTCCTGGCCTGGTAGAAATATTTTCTTGGGTTATTCTGTAGAAACTAGGATGTGGGACTCAATAGTTGGAAACATTTGCTTGTCTTTATCATGAAAAGCCATTATAAGGCCGAATCTAAGTTCTCACTCAGAGTGAATGATTTTTACCTGGCAACCAGTTAGCAGGGACTTTATGTGGATGTTTTTTATGAAACAAGATGGGACTAGAAAGGATGGAATTGCTTCTAAGTGGATTTTTTACATCTTTTTTTTTCTTTTAAGTATCTGGCCTCAGTAATACTTTATTTGCAGTAAAAAATTATTTTTAACATGGATCATTCAGAGCAATAGTGAATTATAGTCCATTCGAGGGAATGGGCAGATATGATACAAATTCATATCTTTATCTATAGATATATCTATATTTATCGATGTCTGTCTATTCTCTCTGTATAATTTTTTTTGCCACTACTGGGTCTTGAACTTAGGGCCTAGGCAATTTCCCTTAGCCTTTTAGCTCAACCCTAGCACTCAACCACTGGAGCCACAGCTCTACTTCCAGCATTTTTTTTTGGTGGTTAATTGGAGACAAGAGATAAGCCAGCCTGGGCTAGCTTCGAACTGTGATCCTCAGATCTCATATGCCACATAGTTTCTACCACCCAGAGAGAAATGAATTAGTTGAGGGAGTATGTGTCTAAAGTGGATGAGTTTGGATTGAGATGTTTCTAACTAGTCTCCTTAATGTTCTAAATGAAAGATCTCAGCATTCGTTGTAAATTCAAGGATTCCTTCTCCCTGTAGGAAATCTGATTCTGGATGTATGACAAACACAGAGTCCTGGGTACTGGTGGCTTGTGCCTTTAATCCTTACTACTCAAAAGGCTGAGATCTGAGTGGAAGAGCCAAGCCAGAGAGTGAGGCCCTAAGTTCAAGCCCCTAGACCAGCACACATACAAACACACACACACACACACACACACACACACACACACACACACAAAGGCACAGAGACAGAGAGATAGACAGAGACTCTAGGAAAAAAGATAATGATACATGGAATAAAAAATAATGGGAAAATATTGGAACTAGGCCAGGAAAAAGAGAGATCCAAATATTCCACTGGTTTGATGATGAGTGTAAATACCAGATCTCCCTAGCACTTGCTTGTATAAGTGCAGTATCACCTCTGACAGCTGTGTTTTCTTATGTCAACATTTTAGAAAATGACAAAAGAGAAAAAGAAAAGCTAAAACTTTTCTAGTTTCAAAGGAGAAGAGAGCAACAAATTAACTAAAAAAAAAAAGGAATCTGAAAAGTCTGAGTGGTAAAATTCCAGTCTTGTTTCTAGAGACTTAATTGAAAAATAAATTCTAATAACATAAAATGAGAAAGCATGAAAATTTCCCTTCCACTTTTCAGTGTTCTTGACCTTATTGGTAACTGATTTTTTTTAGGAAAACCCTTTCTTTGTAGTTCATAGATAACAGAACTATTCCAAACTTTAATTCTTTTTCTTTTGTCCACAAATAGAAGTATGTCTACCCAGCCTTCTATTAAGAATGTAAAAAATTAGTACTAGTTTTATTACTATTTTATGTGGCTTAATAAAGCAGTGACTTGACTTGCATTTGTTGATGGTCAACACATATCCTTTTCTCCCTTTAAGCCAGTGCTAAAATTGAGCGAATTCTCTTTTTTAAAGTTTTTAAACAATTCTCATCTCAAGTTCAACTGAAGGTTACTGTTTCCAGTAAGCCTCTACTTTCCTTTCATGTTGTGTGGTGGCCTGTCCTCTCTGAGTGGTTTTGATGTGGTTCATTGCTGAGAGCCACAGGAATTCCACCAGAGTTCATTTATCCACTAGGAAATAAAGGGCCTACTGGTATTCATTTACTTTGTTTTGCATGCATTAAGAAGGAAGTTTTTAATGAGGTAATTCATGAGCCAGTGGCTCTTATCTGTGTTGAAGTCACATTAAAGTTTACAATTTTGGAAGTTAGCTGGGCTATGTAGAAAGGGGAAAGTACAACTGAAATAAGAATACCTCTCACTTGTCCACCCATCCACCCATCTACCCATTCATCCATCCATCCATCCATCCATCATCCATCTGTCCATTCATCTATCTACCCATCTGTCCATTCATTCATTCATTCATTCATCCATCCATCCATCCATCCATCCATCCATCCATCCATCTGTCCATTCATCTATCTATCCACCCATCTGTCCATTTATCTATCCATCCATCCATCCCGTCCCATCCATCTTTCATCTGTCCATCCATTTAATCACCCATCCCTCTTTTTCTTCTCATTCATGGAGTCCAAACAGCCAAACAGTGAATGTTTCTAATACACTGTCCTGCTTTGCCTCATGTATATGGGCTTAAGGTTACATTTTAACATGTCCCTATATCCATATAAGCATAAAATGTATGCATATATATGTATAATGTATTGCTCAGATTCATACTATTATTCTCCTTCTCCTGGTCTTGCCAAACATTTTTCCTGGGTCTCCTCCCTCTCTTTCCCTCCCCTCTTCTCTCCTCTCCTTTCCTTTCCTTTCTTCCCTTCCACTCTCTTCCCTTCCCTTCCTCTCCTTCTGTGTGGGTCCTGGGTACTGCCCTTGAACTCATTTTTGTTCAAAGCTAGTTCTCTATCACTTGATCACAGCTCTACTTCCAGCTTTATTGTGGTTAATTGGAGATAAGACTCTAGGGACTTTCCTTCCTGGGCTGGCTTTGAACCTCAATCCTGAGACCTCAGCCTTCTGTATAGGTAGCTGGCATTAAGGGTATGAGCCACCTGCGCTTGGCTTTCCCCTTTTCTAATGAGTTATATTACAATAAACCTAGCAAAATCTCTGAAACATGTAAAACCAACTGTTACTTTTGGAATCTTAAGTCTGATTCTTTTCTTACCTGAAGGTAATCTTATTTTATTACTTTGCTTAGGAAGTGGGAAAGAATTAAGTGAATTGAGAGGCAGCATTTTGGTCTTACTCTATAAAATCTAAACTAAGGCTGAAAGTTGTTTTGTGAGATGTGGGGAAAATCTTTTGTGATGGCATTGGAGGAGTTAACACAAAGTAATCAAAACAACATAAAACTTAATTTGAACCATAAGCTGTTTTGAAATAAGTTAATTGTTTATGGAGATTGATTGGAAGGACTGTATGTAATCAGTTGTTTGGGAATGAAACCATTTTCCTATGTAATTTAGCTTGTCACTCCCTGCTCTTTTTCTCTAAACAATTGGTGTTTGGAAGTTCTTGCCCTCAGCAGATCAAATGCCCACTTTGGGGGGTCTGGTGTGGGTGCTGGATTGTGTGTTGCTGTGCGAATCTAAGGTAGTTGTGGATTCTGAGTTCTCTCTGGCTCAAACACTTTAGGAAAGGATTTCTGGTCCTATCTTTATAGAGAAAAATGCTATTATCTGTGCCTCATCGCAAGATTGACACAGTAGTCAAGAAATGCTTCAGGAGTGCCTGATTTGGAATTCATGGCTGAAAGAGGAGAGAGAAAAAGAATTCTCCTTGTCTATGAAGTTTTGGCAGCCCTGGGCTTGAACAGGAATGGGTGTTGGGGGAAGGAGGAAAGGCACTCTAAATGTTGGTCTTTTTTTTTTCATGGAAAGAAAATCTCTCCTCCCATGGTATCTCCTATAATAATGTTACAGAAATAGGCGTGCTTGTGTTTAATCTGTAAGAGAAAGGAAACCATTTACTGAAAATATTTTAGCTTCTTAGGGCAGGTCCAGTGCGCTAGTTTGAGGCCAGCCAAAAATTAGCGAGACCCTATCTCAAAAATTTAATACACAGAGCAGCAGAGAGGGAATTTAGCCTTTCATTTAATCAATACAAAGTCCTTGTGTAGATCATAATTAATGGGGTGAACTTAGGATGCTAGCAAACTATATTTGGACAATTAGAAGTTCCTTAAATCTCTTCTCTTGCCAATCACTTCTACTTGTGGGTTTCATACTCTTTTGTGGTGTGTGTGTGTGTGTATGTGTGTGTGTGTGTAACTATGTTACAGTCCTCCTGCATTAGCCTCCTGAGGGCTGGGATTACAGGTATACACCATCATGTCTGTCTGGGCCTGGGATCCAGAGCATTTTTAGGATTGGAATCACATGTGTTTATTTATACTCAGCATGGGCATGGTCTTCAGTCTGTTGTTAACAAAAAACTCAGTGAGATAGTTTAAGGTATTTCAAAGCCTGTAAGACATCAATCTTCCCTTCAGTTTAAGAACAAATGTATGGGCTATTCTATTTGAGAGCTTGTGTTAAAGAAAAAAATGTATTATTTTCTCAGCGGGCACAAAGGATAGGTTAGAAAATTAGTATGAGTAAAAATTAGGGAAAAAAATCCTGCTGAGCTAGAAGTGACAAGGCACCCAAAGTGGCAATGCAATGTGTCATCTTGAATTCAGGGCCTGGTGCTCTTCTGCTTGAGCTACACCTCTACACCTGGATTTTTGCCCCCCCCCCCCTCTCTGTACCAATCATGGGCTTGAACTCATGGTCTGGGTGCCATACCTGAGCTTCTTTTGCTCCACTTCTGGTTAAAAATTTTTTTTTGAGTAGTTTAGGGAGATATAATCTCATGGACTTTCCTACCTGGGCTGGCTTTGAACCATGACCCTTAGCTCTCAGCCTCCTGCGTAGCTAGGATTACAGCTGTTAGCCACCAGTGCATGACTGGCTTTTTGCTGTTTAATTGGAGATAAGTGTCTCAGCTTTGTCTGTCTGGGCTGGCTTCTAGCTGTGACTCTCAGATCTCAGCCTCCTGAGTAGCTAGGTTTATCGGTGGGAGCCTTCCAGTGTATAGCATCTTAACCTATAAAATTAGAATCTAAACCTTGGTGAAAGATCTTAAATTCTACCATCATGAAAAATATCATTGTAAAATTCTTGGATAGATGAATTCTTTTTTTTTTAATTTTCTTTTCTTTATTTTTTATTGTAAGAATACTGTACAGAGGAGTTACAATTATATGGGCAAGATAATGAGTACATTTCTTATCAAGCACTGTTGCCTCCTCGTTGTTTCCCCTTTCCATCCCTTTGGATAGATGAATTCTTTTACTCACAGAACTGTTCATTTGTGTGTTGGGATTTTGTGATTGTGAACAGCAGAACAAAACTAACTCAGATACTCACCCGGTCCTCCAATCATGTCCAACAATGTTGTAGCAAGAAAAATGGCAGCAACTTCTTCAGGTCCTTGTCATGTGAGCTGACAAAAGTAAAACAAATCAAAGGGAACACTGAGGTGGGTACCATCTTGCTTCCCACCTCTGATAGCTCAGGTCATCTAGTCATTCAGCTAGTGTACATTGAGCTCGTATAATTTGCCTGGTATGAGGAGAGAGTCTTCAGGAAGGACCCTTGCCTTCAAGGAACATACAGCCCAGCACATGGGAAATACATACGCAAAGAAAAAATGATAGTATGACTAGGTAAGTGGAAGAATTAGATAGGTATCTAAACATATAAATATATATTGTTTTGAACCTAAATGATGATTTCTAGGGTTGCACTGGGGGATTCTCTTATCTTTGCCACCTGTTGTGGAAAAAAAATGAGACCCTATAGTTTAACCCAGTTTTTTTCCCCCCTATTTCATTTTTGTTTTTGTTTGTGTTGGTTATGGGGCTTGAACTCAGGGCCTTGAGTTCTCATTTGGCTTTTTCCTCTCAAACATTCCACCACCTCCACTTCCAGCTCTTCACTGGTTAATTGAAGATAAGAGTCTCAAGGACTTTCCATCCCCAGGCTGGCTTTGAACCTCGATCTTCAGGTCTCAGCCTCCTGAGTAGCTAGAGTTCCAGTTCGGAGTCAATTCATCCTATGGATTGGCACTTGCAGGTTGCCCTGGCCGAGAGAGAGCTGTGTGGCTAGTGTTTCGGGGTGGGGTGGGCGCTTGGCGGGTGTGTGTGTCGGGGGGTGGGGATGCCTCTGCGGGGCGCATGCAGGGGTTCGCACCCATGTGGAGGACCTGCTCTCCGTGTCTCCCCAGCTCTCTGTGCCATCGTGGCCACCATCTGGTTCCCCGTGTGCGCCCACCGCGAGACCACCATCGTGAGCTTTGGCTACTCCCTGTACGCGGGCTGGATCGGCGCGGTGCTGTGTCTGGTTGGGGGCTGCGTGATCGTCTGCTGCTCCGGAGATGCCCAGTCTTTCGGTGAAAACCGTTTCTACTACGCTTCGGGCTCCAGCTCTCCCACTCACGCCAAGAGCGCCCACGTGTAAGCGCGCTGCGGCTCCACCCAGGTGCTGTCGATTGGGGGGCCCCCCGGGCCTTGGGTTTGCTTGCTGCAGTGTGTGTGTGCGGGGGAGGGTAAGGCGGGGAGGGCTCCCCTTGGGCCAGGCACCAAAGCCACAGATCCAGAGGGCACCCCGCCCGGCATGATCTGTAGTCTTCGCACCTCTCCGCCCCACCGCCCCTTGGGTTGCCTTAAGAGAAATTTCTAGTTTAGGTCACGTCCATAGTATAGTTTTCTCATGTTCTCGCTCCTCTTCCTTTTTTTTTTTTTTCTCTCCCTCTCCCTTCTTGGACGTTCCTTTGTTGTTGATTAAAAAAACACACGACTATTTCGTTTCTCTCTAAATACCTTGCAAACATTTGCTGAATCGGGTGTGGATGGGGAGAGAAATAAAAGACCACGTTTCCAGCCGTTACACAGGACAATGGCCACCTCGGAAGACCTGTGCAGCCCAGGTCCTCTCCTCCTAAGAGATAGCAAAGGCTTGAAGTAGGAACACGCGTGGGAGGGAAGGGAAGGGAGTTGGGGAACTTTCTCTGCATGGGAAAACTTCCCTATCTTGAAGGGCGAGAACCCTTAGTTTGTGATCTTCCATTTATCTGTACATACTTTTTCAAGATGGATCTTTTTTTTTTTTTTTTAAAAAAAACACATAACCATGGTCTTCCTGAATTTCTCAGTTCATCAGTATGAAGGAAATGAACCAAGCAGACTTTTAACTATGCAATACATAACAATACAAGTGAGTAGACCTTGAGCTGACATTCCACCATACTTTTTTTCTTTTGATTTCCCAGGTTTGTATGATGATATCTTTATTGTTTCAATCCTACTTTTTGCATATGCTTCAAATTAACACATTTTAAAGCTTCCCCCCCCCCTCCCTGTCTTGCTTTTCATTCCATTAGCCATGTTGAAGTGATATGTGTAACATAAGCTGTACTGTTGAATTGGGCTTGTACGGGTGTAAACACTCATGGTGTATCAGTTTCTGAGACACCCCCCCTTCTATTCTCCAAACACGGATGGTGCATTTTGTTCTTCAAGTGAAATCTGTGCAATAAAATAACAAACTGCAAAACCAGCCTTGGCTCTTTTGTTGCATCCAGAGGTTTTATCTATGGATTTGAAGAAAAAAAAAAGAAGCTCAGCAATTGGTTAAATTGAATCTGATCAGTAGTCGAGAAAAACCATTCTATGCTGACTTGAATAAATTTGGAAGTTATATTTTATTAACTGTATCATGGTGCTAATGTGTGATCATAAAGATACAACCCAGAAGTTCATAGAGTTTTTTTCTTTTTTGCTGGTCCTGGGGCTTGAACTCAGGGCCTGGGTGCTGTCCTTAACCTTTTTTTTTCCCAAGCCTAGTGTTCTACCACTTGTGCCACAGCTCTGCTTCTGGCTTTTTTCTTTTTGGTAGTTTATTGGAGATAAGAGTCTCATGGACTTTCCTGCCTAGGCTGGCTTTGAACTGCAATCCTCAGATCTCAGCCTTCTGAGTAGCTAGAATTATAAGTGTAAGTCACTGGCGCTCAGCTCATAGAGTTTCTTAAATGGAATAACTTTATGGTCTCTTGATATTATGAATATTCAGCCACAGCACACCAAATTTTAAGTCTGATAAAGTTAAAAATCCTTAATGTCCTTGGAATATTTAGTACAGAAAAATAAACCCATTATATTGAACCTTTAGTTATAATACTCACAAGGACTTTGTGCAAACATAAATATGTAGGTCTTTGGAAATTTTGAATATAAAGAAACATCGAGTTGACTTTTATTTTGCATTCCAGTATTTCTGTCAATTTATAAGAAAGTGGATTACAATCTATCTTGGCAAATTTCTCCCAAATAGAATACTAATTTCATTAGCTTGTAGTTTAACCATTGGCAAACATTTCTTTGCAAATAGTCATTTAGGATAGTCACGTGCAGAAAATTGTGTGCATTAGAGCTATTATAGCCTACTTTAGACATAGTTATATCTAAATTACCTAGGCAGAAAAGACAAGATTCCTGGTGACACAAATATTTGTCTTGCAATGATCCAGTTTTCATAAGGATCTAAGTCATGTGACTATTAGAGGGCCTTTTTTTACCTCATTAGAACTTGTTAGAGGCAAGGTACTACTGGTAGCTCATGCCTGTAATCCCAGCTATTCAAGATCAAAGTTCAAAGCCATGAGACTCTTATCTTCAATTAACTAGCAAAAGCTGGAAATGCAGCTGTGGTTCAAGTGGTAGAGTGCTAGCCTTGAGCAGAAAAACTAAGGGACAGTGCTCAGGCCTTGAGTTCAAGCCCAGTACTGACACAAGAACAACCACTACCAACTTGTCAAGGTATATGGACTGCAAATCTGAATGGAGCAAATGGCTAAAGGGGAAAGGAGAAGTCAAGCGTCAGGTCCACTTGCTTCTTCATCACAAAGCAAAGGCATCATCAGGCACTGTTGCCTTCCTCTCTTTGGGACTTGTCACATCTCATTTGCTTCCTTCCCTAGTCTGCAGGGGAGCTCCCTGAGTTCCAGTCCTCCTGAAGCATGGGAGGGGAACCTCATGTATCCCTTAACTTTTGTTGTCCAACAATAATCAGGGAATCCCATTTTGTAAGTGGAGGGTAAATGTTCATATAGTCAATTTGAAATGTTCTAGAAGCCATCCTTTTTTTTTCTTCCGATTTTTGTGCCAGTGTTGGGGCTTGATCTCAAGGCCTTGTGCTCTTACCTGGCTTTTTCATGTAGGCCTAGAGCTCTACCACTGGATCTACACCTGCACTGTTGGCTTTTGGCTGTTTACTTGGAGATGAGTCTCTTGGATTTGTCTGCCCAGCTGTCTTCAAACGTTGATCCTCAGATCCTAGCATTCTGAGTAGTTTGGATCAAAGGCAGGCTCATACCTGGCTACAAGTCACAATTAAAAAACTAAAACCATACAAGTGAAATTAATGTGAAATCTATTTTACTTGATATGGTACATCAAAAGATGATTGTTTCAGTGTACGATCACTTCATGAGATATGCTGCCTTTTTAATGTTGCGTGTTTTGGTTCCAGGGTGGTTTTTTTTTTTTTTTTGTGCTTACAGCATATCTCAATTTGTACTAGCCCCATTTCAAGGAGGCTAGTACACTGGCTATTGGACTGGCTAGCACAGTTGTGAGATAATTCTGTCTTGGTAATCGGCAAGAGGAATTCAGAGTTCTCTTAGAATTTGGCAATTGTAATTTTTTGATCAATTAGAATAAAGCTGAAACAAGAATCTCCCAATCATAGGTAATGACAGTCCCAAAGGATTGGAGCTATGCAGTTGAGACCTGTTTGTGTCAGGTCTCATATGTTTAATTTTTCCCCCAGTCTTGATATAAATGAGGAAATTGAGATGTAAAGATAGGGTTATGGCATTTCTCAAGGTCAAATAGCTACTGTGAAGATCTAGAAGGGATGCAAATTGAACAATACTCCATGGGAAGAATTCTTTCTCATGTTTTCCTGGGGTGTGATTAGCTGATCATTCTTTGTCCTCTCTCTAAGGGTCATTAGGTTTTGGGCAGGCGATTTTGAGAATCAGAGAATCCTGGCTCTCCTCTTTCCCTGGCCTGTTCTGCAGAGACAGCATGCAGAAGAGCTTTAGATTAAAATGACCCAGTCCTCTTCCTGCTTTCCAAGAATTGGATGGAAACTAAATTGGGGGGGGGGGAGGAGAGGGAAAACTGTGAATCGAGTCACAACGACAGCACTAGAAAGCAAAGCTTGTGTGAAGAACACAGCTTCCATATTTGCGCTCAATCGGTGACTTGCCCAACAATAGAACAAGGTTTGGCTGTGTCTGCGTGGCACTGTGTCTCTGTACAATGTCTACCATGCGATCGGTGCCGTCTTCAGTGTTTGTCAGGACACTTCTGCTCATGACATCATGCCGGGAGCACAGGGAGGCCACTGTGGGCCGGCCTCAGAGCTGCCATTGAGGCCTTCCCACAAAAGACTGTGTGAGCGCCAGATGTGCGTCTCCCCCGGAGAGCGACCCTGAGCAGGCCGGGGACCCTGGCACACGCTGCTGGGGCTTGAATAACAGCTCTTGAGGAATGGTCATTGCAGGCTCTGCCAGCTCCAGCTCTGCGGCCCCTTGGGGAGGGGGAGGGAGCGGAGATGGAGGGGCCCTGTCACTGGAGATGGAGATGGAGAGTCTGGAAAGGAGGAGTGAGGCCAGCCTTGCTCCCTGTATGGCCCTGGATCGCCACAGCTGGGGGTCTTGCTTTATTTTCCTTAGGCTGAATTCTATTCAGCTGGGCCTTTCCATCTGGGATGAGAGCGAGCTGAGATCACCTGGGATCTCGTGGGGACCCAGATGCAGATTCTGCAGGTGCATTTCTGAACAGGCTCTGAGAGAGCATGCTTCTGGTCCCGGAGAATACCTCCAGCTGGCCCACAGGCCGGCCGTCCTTAGGCACATCCATAGCAAAGGGTCCCTTTCTAGAGGGTGACCCTGGAATAGTGCTTTGCCTTTTAAGATTATTTTGGAACTTCACCGATTAGTGCTGATTCTGGTGTAGAACCAATCATTTGGCTTCAGAGTTTTGTTCCTCATTGAAACAGAAACACCTGGTTGGGTATGGTAGTACATGCCTGTATCCCCAGTTAGTTGGGAGAATTGAGGTTTGAGGTCAGCATGGACAAAATGTTAGAGATACTCTTCTTATCTCAAACAAATCGGGAGCCTAGGAATCTGCAATCTACTCCGGTTTCTCTCCAGATAGTATCAGTCTTTTGCCTTTTACTAAATGGCCTGCCAGTTTATTCTGGTCCATCCTGACGTTGGAGACTCATGGAAAAAAGTTGAGTGAATGTAGGCCAAAGTAGTTAGTCCAAAGTCATGTTGCTAAGGCATCATTTCACATTTCCGGGGACTTTATTTTAATGTGGTGGTTTGTGGGCTTAGAGAACTGTTTGTGGAGCTACTCCAGTAGAGTGAGTGCTGCCTTTGTCTTAGTGATCTCTCATCCTGGTGTTGAGTTCAGCATCTCATTGAGGATAGACCAATTATGGTACCTTTCACCATTGAGGTGACTGTGACTGGCCCAAGAGATCAGAATTTCATCCAATCAGAATGCACCTGCGCACATCCTTCATGGGGACTGTGAGTGAGGGCACAAGTCCTCCTTGAACTGAATAGAACTGAGAGGAGTTGAGCCTGGAAGCTCTCAGTTACTGTTGTCCTCGCTGTGGAAAAGCTGAATGTGAGCCAGGTGCTGGTGGCTCACGCCTGTAATCCTAGCTACTCAGGAGGCTGAGCTCTGAGATCGCGGTTCAAAGCCAGCCCGGGCAGGAGAGACCATGAGACTCCTATCTCCAATAAACCACCAGAAAACCGGAAGTGGTGCTGTGGCTCAAGTGGTAGAGCGCTCGCCTTGAGCTGAAGAGCTGAGGGACAGTGCCCAGGCCCAGAGTTCAAGCCCC